TTTCCCCCCCCCCCCCCCCCGCCTCTCGCTCACCTTGCTGTTTTTGCCTCACACCACGACGCAGGTCTGCTCGGTCCCAACGGTGCGGGCAAGTCGACACTCCTGACAGCCATTGCCGAACAGGATGTCCCCCTCCCCGACCACTTTGACATCTTTCACCTCAAGAAGGAGATTGACGCCACGGACCTGACGGCCCTGGAAGCCGTTCTTGACGTCGATGCCGAGCGCAAGCGTCTGGAAGCTGAAGCTGAGCGCCTCATTGAGATGGACTTGGCCGAGTCGGACCGTCTCACCTCCATCTACGAGCGTCTGGATGCCATGGATGCCTCCCTCGCTGAGGCCAAGGCTGCCAAGCTCCTCCATGGTCTTGGCTTCACCAAAGAGATGCAGGCCAAGAAGACCAAGGACTTTAGCGGTGGTTGGCGCATGCGTATCGCCCTCGCCCGTGCCCTCTTCATTCAGCCTTCCATCATGCTGCTCGACGAGCCCACCAACCACTTGGATCTTGAGGCCTGTGTGTGGCTTGAGGAGGAGCTCAAGAACTACCCCGCTTGCCTCGTCATCATCTCCCACTCCCAGGATTTCCTCAACGGCGTCTGCACCAACATCATGCATCTCCAGAACCGCCACCTCAAGTATTACTCGGGTAACTACGACCAATACGTCAAGACCCGTGCTGAACTCGAGGAGAACCAGATGAAGCGCTACCAACAGGAGCAAGATCAGATTGCCCACATGAAAAACTACATTGCTCGCTTCGGTCACGGTAGCGCCAAGCTGGCCCGTCAGGCCCAGTCCAAGGAAAAGGTCCTGGCCAAGATGGTCGCCGGTGGTCTCACCGAAAAGGTGCAGGCTGATCACTCGATCGATTTCAAGTTCCCTGATTGCGGCAAGCTGCCCCCGCCCGTGCTCATGGTTGAGAACGTCAGCTTCAAGTACCCTGGCACTGAAAAGTACCTCTACCGCAACCTGGACTTTGGCGTCGACCTTGACACCCGTCTTGCCCTGGTCGGCCCCAACGGTGCGGGCAAGTCCACCCTCCTCAAGCTCATCGTCGGTGAGCTCACCCCCACCGAGGGTCAGATTCGCCGCAACGCCCATCTCCGCTTTGCCCGTTACCATCAGCATCTCGAGGATCAGCTCGACTTTTCCCTTTCCCCTATCACCTTTATGCAAAAGGAATTTCAGGAGGAACTCAAGGAGATTGAGGATGCCCGCAAGGCCGTCGGTCGCTTCGGCCTCACTGGCAAGATGCAGACCATGCCCATCGAGCAGCTGAGCGACGGCCAGCGCTCGCGCCTCATCTTCGCCTGGCTGGCCATGACCCGCCCTCACATGCTCATTCTTGACGAGCCTACTAACCACTTGGACATGGAAACCATCGACAGTCTGGCCCGTGCCATCTCTGGCTTCGAGGGCGGTGTCTTGCTTGTTAGTCACGACTTCCGTCTCATCGACCAGGTCGCTCAGCAGATCTGGATTGCAGAAAACGAGGTGCGTCCCCTTTTGCTCCCATCACTTGACGATTGACCTTTTGCTTGCCGGCGTTGTTCCTTGGCCATTTCTCACCACGCCGTCTTGTGACATTTTCACCGAGTAGACCGTTACCCGTTGGGAGGGTGATATCTTGGCCTACAAGGAGCATCTGCGTCGCAAGCTCGAGGAGAACTGAGCATGCCACTCCTCGGCTCAACCATTAACATCCCTCAATCGCACCGCCGCGCGGCAGCGAGCGCACTGAGCTCAAGGAGACGAAGCAACCATTCTGTCCTGCTTTGACCCCAGTCCAGTTGGTTTTTGGACCTGCCTGTGGCATGCTTGCTTCATTTGCAAGACAATGGGGTGTGGATGAAGGCCGCTGTGGGGTGGGTTTTTTAGAGTGATTACCCTATAGCTTGTTGTGCGTTTACCGATGGGGTGTCAACGGCTTGGTGAGGCTCAGCTGTTCGGAACGTGATCAGCAATCTCGTGTGCGTGCGTATTGGCGTGTCATTGATGGGCGCGTCTGCGCACGTGTGTTGGCGCGATCACTTATTCGAGCGCGCATGGTCGTCTGCTCGCGAGCTACTTTGTTGCTATCGGTTCTCTCTTTTTGGTTTTTCTTTTGCTGTCTTTTGCGGCGAGCCGTGTGGCTCGCGCTTGTTCTCCCCTGCGTGGATCTGCTTTTGGTGTTGCTTTGTCTTAGCCAACGTGTTGTCGCTTTGAAGCGTTCTCTGTCCCGAAATGACGTGCGTGTCTGGATGGATCGAGCCTGTGAAGCACCAGGTCTCCCAAGACCTCAATTGAACCCTGTTCTGAAGCCGTTCATACGTCCTCCTTTCTTTTGTTGATCCCGCTTTGAGCTGTGGAAGCCCGTGTCGCATCGTCAAGTGTGAAGAGGCCGGTCACACGATTCGCTTGTTGTCTTGGTGTGTCATGAGTTTCAATCCTGGACCAATTCAATTGGTCGGGCTCGGCGTGCAGGAAAAAATTGGTTCTAATGATTCAGCCAGTGGGCCAGTTTGAGTGCGTCGTCAACCCCGCTCAGCGGGTAGGCGGACGCGCGGCTTCCACCGAATTCAGCCGAGCTATGTGCTTTTGTTGTTTGCCAGAGCGCTGGATGCGGCGGTGCACCAGAAGGAGTTGGCCGCAGCTGGCTTGGAAACGCCGGTGATGCAGCATGCTGTGGAGCGGGACCACGGACCGGAGCCGGCATAGGAGTCCAGTGGGACGATGGCGGGGGCAGGTGCTGCCGATCCATGTGCTCAACTAGGTCCACAAGCGACAGCGTGCCCGGGGACGCCGCTCTTGGGTCAGCTAACCAGGGCCGGTCTTGGGCCCGGAGACCGTTTTGCCCCGAGCTCGGCACTTGGGTCTCAAGCTGTTGTGGTCGAACATTCCCATCCATAACGGAAGGCGACGGTGCCCTCTCATCAGATAAATGGGAGAAAGTGGGGGAGGAAGAGCCTGAGCGCTCTCTTGGGCCACCAAAGCCATGCGTGGCCTCGGTTTGCGTCTCGATAGTTCGCTGCGGCAAAGGTTCAGTCTGCACCCCCGCCTCGAAGCGGGCGGGGCTCTTCGCGGGCGAGGTCGGGGCAATGCCCGAGGATGCGCGATTGCTCCCTTCTGCTGCATCCATCTCCAGATCAGCCACACACAAGCCACCCTGCGAGCCGCCGAGGGCCACTCCGCGCTCGTGAGGAGATCGCGATTGCTGCAGCTCATGGACGGCTTCCATAAGGCGCTCAATCTGTTGCTGCAGTGCAGCCACCTCCTGAGAGGGCACACTGGAGGGTACGAGGGGAGAAGCTTGGACAACATTTCCACCGGCAATCCTTTGCTCGGGGGATGGCCGCCTTCTCGCATGGTCGTCGAGGCTGTGGCTCAGATACCTGGCGGTAGAGACTGGTGCAGGACGAGGACCGACGTCCAGCGTTTCATAGCTGGGTGAGGCACGTTGGGAAGCTAATTGGCGCTGCGCTGAAGCCAGCTGCTCCAGCGCGCCCCGATACTCCTGGTCCAGGCGCGAAACTTCGTGCACCAGACGTGCAACCCGACGTTTGTCTTCCAGACACAGATCAGCGAGGCTGGCATTGCTGCGTCGAGGCGGGGACGAAGTTCGCCGCGCTATTGACGGTGCCCGGCTATGCTGCTCCCGACCCACGGCTGCAGCCGCCTTGTGCCCACCTGACCCCCGAGCCCGATTCTTGCTAGGCACGGCCACGCTCGCAGCAGCTGCCGGCTCCCGCAACGAGGCGACCCAGCCCAACTCCACACCACTACTCCCCACCGCCATTGCCGTTCAAATTCTAAAAAAAAATTTAAAAAAATGGAAAAAAAATGAAAAAATTTAAAAGCAGCGAAAAAGGAGGGGGAGACAAGGGCGCCGGTACATATATATGTGGTTATATTGCTTCAACTGTCAGATCATCTCCGATAGTATAGTGGCTAGTATCCCTGCCTGTCACGCAGGAGACCTGGGTTCGATTCCCAGTCGGAGAGCTTAATATTTTTGCTTGGTAATATTTTTGCTGACATTTTATCAATTCCGCAAAGTATACCATTTTTATGTAAAAGTATCGTGCTCAAATGTAAGAACATCTCCGATAGTATAGTGGCTAGTATCCCTGCCTGTCACGCAGGAGACCTGGGTTCGATTCCCAGTCGGAGAGCATCAAATCTTTTTGCTGCGGCTTCAGTTACCAAAGTTTGTGTTTTTTTCTCTGATAAGGATACCAAACGCCTTTATATACTATTTTATGCCTCATCATTGTCAGCTGATGCGCGAACATCTCCGATAGTATAGTGGCTAGTATCCCTGCCTGTCACGCAGGAGACCTGGGTTCGATTCCCAGTCGGAGAGCATCAATTCTTTTTGCATCTCTTCGGTGTCAGACGGATTTTGAAGCTGTGGCTGGCCTGTGCCTTTATATGTGAATTTACGCGCCACGTGTTCGTCAATGCGAGAACATCTCCGATAGTATAGTGGCTAGTATCCCTGCCTGTCACGCAGGAGACCTGGGTTCGATTCCCAGTCGGAGAGCATCAATCTTTTTTTGTTTTTGCCCCCGATGAGCCGTCGGTTCGACCGGGAGGTAAATGAGCGATTGGTTGAGGGCGGTGCCCTGCCAGGCATGCTCCTCCTGTTTCACTTTTGCTTTTGTTGTTATTTCTGACTCACCGCCTGGTTTGCGCGCTGTGATGACTGTTCAATAACGCTTTTCACCGAGTGCCGTAATTTCGTCTTATTTTTGCGCTTATTTTGCGCTTATTTTTTTGCGCGATGCTCTTGTCCGTTTTTCCTGCAACGGGCTTTGAGCGCGCGTACTCCCTGGGATGGCGGGCGTGCCCGACCTACGCCTGTCAAGCTACTAGCCTTTCTTCACGTCTGAACGGTGTTTACAAAGCACCAGGCCCCAATGGGATTATGTTCAGTTAAAATTTGCATTCACCAGGTCCGATTTGTTTTCTGAAAGGGATTTGTGTAAAGATCAGGGTATCGTCATACGAGCTGGCCCCACCATGCCCCAGTGCGGTGTGTTGGCTATCGCATGCAAAAGGAACGGAGACGCTGGCTTGTGAGAGCGAAAAGTTATGCTGTTTGCCACAGGTCTGGGTGGCCTCAAATTTTAGCGGTCCAAAAAAAGAAAGGTTGCGAAAACAGAAGAAACTCGTCGAACGTTGTCACCACAATCTTTTTGGCGTGACATGGCTGCCCCACTTTGCGTGCGTACCGTGCGGCTATTGAGCTCGGGTTTTGAGCAGGAGGCTCGGAAGAGCCGGGCTTCAAAAGTCATTTTCTGGCCCATACACCCCAGGAATCACCAAAAACGGCCCATATCTCAGTTCGGCCAAAACGACGATACCCTGATCTTTAATTGAACCTTACACATTTGACATCGAGCAAACTCTTGAAAGAGGGCATTACATGGTTGAAGCTCGCCTCTTTGCTCTGATCATGTTTTTGGACGAGTGTTTGAGTGGCATCTGAGTTCCGGTGCAAAGCTTATACGAAGGTGCAAAGCTAAATTAAGCTAGAAAAGCTCAACAAACGGCAACACAGTTTAGTGGTCCCTTTGCCGCAGTCCCGGTTGGCTCACCCGCGTTTGCTCGCACGCTCCACACCGCCTTGTCTCGTTGCTCCTCTCCATCATCATCGTCATCGACATGATCTCCATGGCGCATGACAGTGGGATCGAGCTGGCTCACAATAGCTCCAGCACCAGACGCTTGCATTGTCGCTAGACGGTGATCTGCACAGGCTGCTATGTTGCACAGCACCTTGCATAAGCTTCACATGACACGCGCGGAAATTACAAGAACTAAAGTACCATGCACCCAGAAACACCTACATGCTAGTTGAACTTTTGCAACCACTCTTGAGCTTGGCGTCTGCCTTCGGGTGTATCAATGATCTCGGCGATGTCAGGGCGCTCATGTTGAAGCTGTGCCATCATGGCATCATGGTCAGGTGCAGCAGCTGCAGCTGCTTCGGCCCGGTGAGCAGGCTAAAGTGGCAAAGCAAACCAGCAGAGAGTTAAAAGCTCAAGACGACGCCACCCAAGATGAACCATCAGCGCATTGTTACCGGAACGAGGAATTCTGGAATACTGACAAGCTCTGCTGCGGGGCGAAGCGCAGGACTTTCTGCTACAAGATCACGGGCAGCATTGATGGGGTCAGAGTGGCCACCTTCGTGACGGCGGCACTCGTGATAATGATGCGACCAGCCCTCCTGGCACTTGAAACAAAAGGCATCACACTTTTCGCATTTCGTACCTGGAACAGCGTCCGAATTGCCATTCGCACCAGCAAGATCGCGAACAACGTTGAAAAAGCCCGAGTGGCCACCTTTATGATTGCGGCACTCATGATGGTTGTGTGGCCACATCTCTTCGCATTTGAAGCATAACTCCCTGCACTTTTCACATCTCGTTCCTGGAACGGGTTTGCCCATCTTGCCGTCGAACAGAGAAGCCGTCGAACAGAGAAAGTGTGCTTCGCTTGTTGATCTTCGCTCGAACTTTGGGTATCAACAGGAAAGAAGAAAAATGCCAGTCATTGGCGGCTCGACACCACGACAAACGCCTGGCTGAGTTTATAAAAGCATGACTCTGCTTGTGACAAGCTGCTGTCAACGACTGAAGCTCGGCTTGCTTGCTTGCTCGAAGCTGAAAACGAGGCTTGAATTAATGAAGTGTGCATACACGCAGTGTCAAGTCGCTTCACAGGCGCCATTCACAAGCCACCTCAGCAAGAATCAAAATGGCCCTACCGCAATAAGACGTGGCTATTGCTTCTCCAAAGCATGAATTCGAGTCCGCAGTAACATACTAGACGAAGAAATGTGTGTAAGCTCGAGGTTTGATTTGCGCAAATCAACCCTCGAGCTTACACATGCTTTCTCTCCACAAAAACATAAAACGCCACAAGACTGTATCGATTTGAGCTTGGGGGAGTGAGTGGGGTTGCCACTTTGGCAAGACCATCTTGTGTTTGTGAGTAGCCTTTGAAATTTGATCTGTCTTATCAGGCTGCTCGTAGAGCCCAAACTGTAGCCTTGACTGCGCCAGGCAATGCTGATATCGATGTGGTACAGCTTTGGCGTCAGAAACGGCAGCTGGGCCCCTGATCTCATACTTTGTCGCACGTCGAGAACAAGCACACCCCACCACCCTCTCTATGTGCTTCTTTCGAAGGCCATAATATTATTACATTAGTACCCCCAAACTGAAAACAAAAGCGCTTTCGGGCCCAATGCCAAATGGCAGCCAGGCGCCTGGCCTCAGATTTCGTCGCACGTCAAAACCAAGCACGCTGCACCTTCGACATGAGCTTGAGATGCTCGGTGTGAAGTCCAAATCCACCTTGGTCCATCCTGCGACATTCCACTGGCATGAGTGGCTCCATGAGTGAGGGACTCCACCCCAACAACGCCAGTCCGAACATTCAAAAATATAGTCAGACGAACTCTTAGTGTGTGTGCTTTTGTGAAGCACTTTTGCTTTTGTTCTGCTTGTTTGGGTTTTGATTCAGTGAACCAGTTTACAAGCAGCGCTGATCAGAACAGCAGGAGCGACGACCACCGCCGACATGTCCAACTCGGAGGAGGCGCAGGTTACCATCAATGGAATCGCTCGATCAAAGCAGGGGTACCCACAGGCTTGGGGAAAAGATGATCGTGGAAGGTCATATTTTTTCCCACCACCGTGGGTTGAACAAGCACGTCTCCAAAAAGGCAAGCGCTACACCGTGCAGGCACAGAAACAGAATGGACAGCCCAACATCTATGTGATCGACGTGAAACCAGACTTGCATCCAAACGTGAACCGGGACAAATGGCGCAAGACGGCGTTTGATCAAGGGCTACCGGAAACAAAGCCTGGCGAGCCGGTACCGCTCGAGTTTGGCTGTTACTGCTGCGGAACAAAGATCGTGGACAGCGCCACCATCCACAAGATGAAGGGTGGTTCTGTGTGGACCAAGGGCAAGCCCCTCACCCTGCGCCCTTACGGAGAAACCAGGTCAAACCCCAGCAAGAACAACACGCCCTATCAGCAAGCCTGCTGTGCAAAATGCAACTTTAATCTGGGCACATTTTACCCCCAAAAATACGAGGCCGACGAGCAAGACCGCGATGAGCTTCGCCAGTTTCCCTGCTACAAACTAATTTTTCAGCGGTCCACCAAGAAATGCCCCTTTTACAAAGCCCAGCATTTGCTGCTCCTCGGTGAGAAAGACAGTGTCGAGCGCACGTTCCAACAGGAATTTGGACGACACGTACGTGTGCCAGCCCGCGTGGATACAGCAACCCACCCCTTGGCATGCCAGCTGCGGGAGACCCACCTTGCACGCCTTCAAGCGGAGGACGAACGTGACAGGCTTGCCCAGGAGGTGAAGGCACTACAGGCCGACGCACAGGCTGCTCGGGAGGCGATGGAGGACGCCGCGCGGGGGGATGGAGCCGACGAATACGGAGTGCGAATGGATCGTCCATGCGACGGGTACCGAGGGCAGACAGAAGTATATCAACTATCGCACGCCGGTGCTGCCGTTGACCGCAGTCCCGGGGCCTTGCACTACAGCGTTGCATCATCACAGTTCCTCCTGCTGCTCAAGCGCGATGTGGTCGAGCTCGGGCAGATCGAGTTGTGGCACAACAGGGCCATCGAACGACGATACCAAGAGAAGCGCCGCTCCTTTGAGGCCGAGGGCAAGCCCAGTGACGAGATTTTCGTTTTTCATGGGACGAACAAGGCAGGCTTTCTCGGCATTTGCAAAGACGGTTTCAAGGTCGGCGGGCTTGAGGTTGAGATAAAGAACGCCGCCTATCATGGTCTCGGGGTATATACGGCAACAGGCCCCAATACTCCACTGGCATACTCTGGCGACTTTAATTGTGTCATTCTCGCCAAAGGTCTCGTAGGAGTTGATGAGTCAGATTCAAGGCGCCCCAGGAAAGATTGGCACATCTTCAGCGACAGCAGCCAGCTCCTGCCAATGTACGCTCTCTTCTACAAGAAGTAAAAGCGCATACCGCTGGGCCATTGCGTGCTTTAAGTGTAGAGCTTCAATTTTGTCGCACCATGCGGTGGTCGTGCGAGTGACTGTGTGTGTGGCCGGTTCTTCTTTTGCATTTTCTTGCACCTGTCTCGACCCGACTGTAAAGCAAAGCGTAGTCGTGTCGCTGTTGTCACGATACACGCTGGGGCAGATGTCTTGTCTCATCGTCTTACTGTGTGATCTTGTCGTGTTGCATTGGGCTGTCCCCGAGCGTGCGTGCCGCTTTCCCCAACGAACCAAAAAAGTAAAAAACTTAATCTATGTGTGAACAACGACATGACATGCTGACAATTCAAACAACTTGTCGCACGAGAGAGAGAGAGTGTGTGTGTGTGTCCGCTCTTGGCGCTGGCGCACATTCCTCCGAGGCGATGAGCCGAGCCACCTCTTCAAAGATGGAGAGAAGCAGAGGCGCTCTGGTCGTTGGCTCTGGGTGTGGGTTTGGGTGAGTATAACAATGGGAGGATGACTGACCAAAGGTTGGGGACTCGGGTGGTTTGCGCGGTATTGCTACAACAAGAACCAACCCAAGGCTGGGAACGCATTCCATGACGGATGCGACGGTGAAGGTGCAGGCATTTGGCATTGTTGCCAAAAGCATCGCAGTCGACACTCCAAGGCAGCACGCAGGCGCAGGAAGCGCCCAGCGCCTTGATTGAACCGTTGGCGCACCGACGTGACTCGTTGTTTTCTGCACCTCGTCGACTCAGAGGCGTCCCCTTCCCGTCCCGCCGATCAGGCAAGTGGTGTCCGGCCTCGCGGGCGAGTGCTCTCGGATTCGTCCGTCCTGGGCACAACCGTGTTTCCCCCCCTTGCGCCTTCTGGACCACAAGCTAATCACACTTTTCTGGCGCACACGTCCATTGTCCGACACTACAGCACTGCCGCCATGCACCGCCGCGCGGGCTTGACCGTGGTGGCGCTGGTGGTGGGCTGCCTGGCACTCACACCACCCGTGCCGGTGGCAAGCACCACGCCTGCGGCGCCCACCCCGCTGGCCACCACAATCGCACCAGAGGAAACGACCATAGACATTACCTTTCGCGACGAAAGCACCTCTACCTTCACATCTTCCTTCTCGACCACCTCCGTCTCTTCCACCTCCACCTCCACGTCAGTGAGCAGCACCTCCGTGAGCAGCAGCACCTCAACCAGCAGCGCAACCAGCTCTTCCACGTCTTCTTTTACGTCCTCCTCAACATCAGTGTCCTCATCCACCAGCACGAGCAGCTCAACTTCGACATCCACCTCCACCAGAGTTCCTCCACCTCCACCTCCACCTCCACCTCCACCTCTACTTCCACCTCCACCACGACGCTGCGCTACGACAACGTCCACGGCCGCGTCCGGTTCCTCGGTCAAAACATGACGGCTCATCTTGAGCTCATCCGCAATATCACCGCTCGCTTGCTCGGACTCTCCCCCTCGCGCATCGAACTCTTTAACGTGCAAGCCTTCGTGCAGGACATGGTGCCCGAGACCCGCGTAGACTACGTTCTTCTGGACATTCTCGAAGCTGATCTCGAGCGCATGATGCAGGGCGCTGATATCGTCTTTGGTCAGAACAGCCTGGCTGCTGAACTGCGTGCGGCACTCGGGTACTCTAGCTCCGAGCTCATTGTGAGCCAGCTCATTGCCCCGCGCACCACCACCACGACGACCACCACGACCACCACCACCACGTCCACCAGTCGGGTTTACTATGTTGTCACTGTGCAGCTGGGTGGGCTTCCTGCTGGCACCAACCTCAGCAACGACGAAGCCCGAGGCATCCTGCAATCTTACCGTTCGCGCTTCGGCCTGGCCTTTGATCTGACTTCGGCCCAGGCCGTCGTGGCACCCAATGGTGCGCTCACGCTGAGCTATGAGACCACCAATGCAAACACCACTGTACTTGCAGCCCAGGCCAATCAGACCTTCTCCGTGGCCGTCGACCGTGCTGTCGTCAGCCTGCAAGTGGCTTCCGTCTCGGCTGCCACTGGTCGCCTCAGCACCGTGGCGCCCACCAGCTCCACGGCTAGCCCTGAAGGGGCCCTGACCAATGGTGCCTCTAGTAGTGATAACAACATTGTGGTTATCGCTGGTGCAGCGGCCGGTGCCGTCGTGGTCCTGCTAGCCTTGATTGCCTTCATCATTGTGCAGCGCAAGCGCCGTGCCAATAGTCAGGAGGAGGCGCCCACGGAGGAAGAGATTTTGCGCAAACGTCGCGAAATCGAACGCTCTGTTGCTCCCGCCATGCCCCAGCCTCGCACCGGTTTTGAGCGCTTCCGGGACCCCGAGCAACAAGGACCGGACAGCTCAGCCCCTCCCAGGATCCGCAAGAAAAAGAAACGTGCCCCCGGAGCGTCTGGTGCCCCCGGCAAACCTGGAGCCCAGGGTCGCGTACCAAAGCCTGCCGTGAGCGGTCGACGACCGCGGAGCACGGGAGGCCCAGGCGGTGCTCGTCGCCCCGCATCGCGCCACAGCGAGACGGCGGAGGATGACCCACGCTTGGATCTGAAGCGAACCGGCTCGCGACTCGACAAGGTGGCCATGAAAATGCTTTTGAAAAAGGGTGTTTTGCCAGACCGCATGCCCTCACAGGCCACGCTAGAAAACTTGCCACCCCCGCCGATTGCCGAGGCGGGCCCAGCTGCCGCGATGCCTGACCCCGATGATTGCTTCGAGCTGAATGACGTTGATGATCTGGATCGCCTCACGGCCGCACTGCCAGAGAACATTGACGACATTATGGCCGAGATGGAAGCCGAGGAGCAAGCCGGCGAGCTTCCCGGCGGTAAGACGAATGCTTCGCGCGAAAAATGACTCAATTTTTGGCCCGTGGTGGGCGTGCGCGCTAGCATTTCCGTGTCCAGGTCTTGATTGATTTGTGTGCACGTAGGCGGGTACTTTGATGTGGCGCTTGAAGACGAGTATGGGGCGCCTGAGAAAGCACGCGATTCCTACTTTCAGGTTGGTCCCTTGAGTCTTCAATGCCAAGCTTTGGGAATTGCTGGCTGGTCCTCCATATTCACTCACCAGACGGTCTGAGATAGATTGACCTCGAGTCGGAAGGCGAAGACGAGAACGACAATGAACCGGGCCCCAACGCCTCATCTCCTGATCAGGTGCGTCACATAGTAGGCCCCGTTCCGAGGGGCAGGTGGCTCGTCGAGTGTGATGGGTGAAGTCTTTTGTCCTGAGTGCAAATGTGGCGTGTCGTGGCGGCGAACCTCGCTCGGCCACAGGTGGTGGGAAATCATGCCGTTCCTTATGATACCACCACTGCTAGGCGGAACACTAATCCTCAAAGGCCTGGGCGGGTGGAAAAGTATGTTTTCAGTTGACTATGCAACGGGTGCTCACTGCTTGGCCGTCAAGAGCTCATGCCCTGCATCTTCTCACCGTGCAGATCGATGAAGAAATGGAGACGCGAATCACTGGGCGAGAAGACGGCCATTTGAGGAGCCATTAGGCTTTCTGATCCCGGTGCTGAGCCAGCCATCATCGCTTCGTGTCTCTTCATGTTGTTCTCCTTCTTCTCCCTTCTTGAATAGTAATCTTATTCCTTGCCCTTGATACATGGTGTGCCTCGACAGTCGCATTTGGTGTTGTGGTGCCCGGCGCATAATATGGCCATGTTTGTGTCAAAGTGTGTGTGCGCGCGTGTGTGCGTGTAGTATGTATACCTAGCTGCGTTCTTGTCCACCATCGCTGCAAGCCTCGTCGGGCTGGCCGCTCATAACAATTAATCATTGACAATTACGATCCTCACGGCCCGCAACGAAATTCCCGGCAACGCCTCACATCAGCCTGCAACCACCGGCCATCCCCGCCATTCCCGCCTCCCCCCGCCTCCCCCCGCCTCCCCCCTCCTCACTATCGCGCTGTTCCAAGAGTACCGGTGTGACTCCTTCAGGCTCGGATCTCCTTCCTTAGACTACAGTATAATTACGAGGGGTTGTTTTCGTTTTACCATCCTTCAAACAGCAACAACAGTTTTCAACAGACATTTACAACGACCTGCCCAGCGGCTCAGTCCAAGATGGCGCAAGCTGGCATCCAGGCTGATTGGGAGGCCCGCGAGTTTATCCAGACCGTCTCGGCCAGTGTTGGCCGGATTGCCGAGTTTTTGAATGCATTTGGTGCGTCGGGGGATGGGCGGGTGTGTGGGGCGGGAGCCAGTGTGGTGTGGGAGCCGGTCTGGTGGCTGCTTTTGGCGCGATTCTTCAAAGCGCGCTTGTTGACGAGCTTGGCCGGATGCGCTGTGACTTCAAACGCGCCATCAGCCCACCTAACATCCCAACTGTGCTCGATATCTAAGCAAATGGTGCCTGCTTTGACTCACCAAACCTTGTTTGCATAGATTCTTCCACGCGGTATCGATTGGCTGAGCTCAATCAGCGCCTGACCTCGCTTGAGCGGTCTTTGGAGTTTGTGGAAGCCAAGGTCGGGCCGCCTCCGTTGCTCCTTTTGGCAATCCGATTGATCGACCACAACCTGTTGTTTTCTGATTGAAATTTTCTTTTCTTCCTAGGTGGCCAAGGCCAAATCCGTCAATCAATAGCCGAGCTGTGCTCGCCGCCTTTTGTTGATTGCGTGCCTCTTCGTTTTTTTCGTCAGGTGTTTTGTGTCGCTCCGAGATGGATCGGGGTGGGGCTTGAGCATCTCCCCCGAAACACATTGCCTCGGCTAGTCGAGTGGCTGGCAACGCTGTTGCATCTGCTATCAGTGCCTCTCGGTCCTACTGTTCTTACTGATGTGTGATCCAGATCCCGTGTGTTTCCGTTGGTAACTTTGAAGTGGAGGCGCGCCGCCTGTCCGTGGCACACGAGCGTTTGTCTGATTCAAATCGAATCTTCACCTCGCCTCTGTGCAGCCTCAGGGCAGGATGGCGTCCATTCTTCTTGCCAGAGGGGCTTTTGAGTGTTGTCGTATGGAGGCTGTGGATAGAGAGCCAGGCTCTTGGTACTTCTCCTGCCGACGAAATTGAGCAGGACATTAATCACCAAGCCCCCAGCTGTCGACCTCCGCCTCGACACTGTCGATAGCACCGGTTTCAAATGTTCGTCAAGTTTTGAGTGTTGCCCGAAGGTTTGTTGTACTTTCATCATAGATTTAGATGAGGCAACTACAGGGGTGTGTGTGATTAGATGGGCATGGGCACCTCAATTGACAGTCAAAAGCCCAGCCTAATGTTGGAGACCAAACGGTACGTGTATGCCTAAGCATACTGAACTTGCAGCTTTTCCTGCAGGGACTGTGGTGCATGAAAGTTAACACGGCGCAGTGAGCAAGCAATTCTTGTCGTACACACAAAAAGCTTGAGCGAGGCTTGTCGCACCTGCATAACGCCGCGCACGCGACCTGCTGCTGCTTCATGATCTGCCTCCTTCTACTCGACAGTGACAGAGCGGGTGGGTGTTGAGACGGAGCGGTGAGCCCAGGGTTGGCATTTCCAAGCACACTTGGAGCGGGAAGATGTGGTGTTTCAACGCATGTTCTTTACCGTTTTGCTGGCAATGATGTCGCGCATCACAAAATTGTTCTTTTCGTAGTGCTGCCATTTCTTTTCAAGGTTGAGCAATTGGGTCCATGTTTCGTTTTTCTGCATCTGGGCTTTGAGTTTCTCGTGTTGGGCAGCCAGCTCCTGCACGACGCGCTTGACGGCTTCCTTGCGGACCATGCAGCGGCGCTTCTCCTGCGCAAGCGCCCGACGTTCCTCCTCAATGTCCCGCGTCAGGCGGTCCGTATCCGAGTACACCACCAATTCCTGCCGCGGCAAACAAAAGGGTGCAGTCAATGGCCAGGCTTTTGTGTAGTGCTTGGCTAAAACACATTTCGTGCACTGACCTCTCGCATGGTGCGAAGTTGTTCCTTCAGCTCAGCCATCTCCGAGGCAATCTTATCTTCAATCTGTTCCACATTACGCAAATCGCGTGCCAGACCCGCGCGCTTGCCCTGCACAAGTCGATGCAAAGTCGAGATCAAAAAAAAAAAAAAAAAAAAGGGAGCGGAGAAGAGCACGTGTTGATGGCATGAGGTCAAAACGCACAATGCATGTGTCGCACAAAGTGGAGCAACTTGTGAGTGAGTGGGTGACTGAGTGAGAGGGAGAGAGAGAGAGGGAGAGAGAGGTTTTGAGGCGTGCTCGTCTAGGACGAGGCCACGGTATTCACCAATGGTTCCCGAGTCCCGAGAGGGCGACACAGTCCCAAACATCTTCTGCAAACGCACCTCCAAACTCTGCGCAGTCGCTTCGGAGCGCTGCATTTCTCGCTCCTTGAACGCCAGATCATCGCGCAGGTGCGTGTGATCCTCGGTGCTTGGCAACTGCTTGGCATGATCCATGTGGCGCGAGATGGCTTCCAAGAGCTCCTGCACGTGTTGCTCACGCTCCTCAACGCGCTCGGTGGCGTCGGCCATGGTGGCCTCGAAAGATGACATAAACTCATTCATTTCTTGGTCATGCTTGACCAATTGCTGGTATTTTTGGCGCTTCTCCTCGTCTTCTTGAGCATCCCCTTCTTCCATCTCGTCAAGCTCAGTGGTCAGACGGTCAATCTCGCGCTGGGCCTCACCCATTTTGCGCTCCATGGCTGCAATGTCCTGGTTGTCCGTCTTCACCTGAGTCAGAAGGCGCTCACGCTGCTGTTCGGGCGACTCGGCCTTTTCTTGCTCAATCTGCTCCATGAGGGTGGCTTCTTTCTGCTTGAGAGCGGCAAGCTGATCGGTCAAGGCCACGGCCTCGCGCTTGAGTGGTGCAGAGGCCAGTTCGCGCTCCAGCTGCTCCAGCGTTTTGGTCAAATCCTCCAGTTGCGTTTGCTGGGCTTCGGCCTTGGCTTTGTATTCAGTGCTGGCAGCCTTGAGCTCGTCATACCGGGCGCGTTGGTCTGGGGTCATGTTCTCGGTCAGAGCGTCATCGGCTGACTTTTGACGTTCCATCTCTTCCTCCACAGTCTTGACTTGGCGCTCCAAGCTACATGTTCAGAAAAGTCCCAAGCCAGACAGCAGGAGAATAGGGAGAGCGACGGATGAAGATGATACGTGTGGGGCACTGGGGTTGTTTGCGACAAGGGCCTGGCTTTCCAGGGTAGCTTCATTTGAGCACCACCATATGCAGGACTCACGTTTGGCGTTCGGTAAAAATCTTGTCAATTTCGGCTTGCTTGATGTCGTTGGCTGCCTTGAGCTCCTTGCGATCCTCCTGGCCACACATGAATCCAGAAAAGGTGAGATCTCAGATTAGCGTGTATTTCATGTAGTTTGGGACAAGCAGGGCGTACCGCTACGTCAGCCATGTCCGTGTTGGTGCGCAGGTGGTCAAGGAGGAGGTTGGTATCGGCAAGCTGGCCTTGAAGACCCTTGATTTCGGCGGCCAATTTTTCGGCCTTCTTTTCAAATGCTACATATGAGTCAGCCTGCGGATTGATGTGTGTACATGGAATGATTTTGATTGCAGTGAGCAGTGTCGTATTGACCTTGCGCTCGAGCTGAAGACAAGCAGACGTGTCAGACCTGGCGTTCAAACTTGGCAATTTCATCGCGCATGCGGTTGATCTCATTGCTGAGTTCTGAGCTCTTGGAGCTATGGGATTACCCGGGCAAACCCATATCCATGATCGTCAAGGCGTGAGTTGAAGGGAGAACGGCAAACAGAACACTGGCGGGCAAGGTGCCAAGCGTTGAGTGGAGGGCACGGACCGCAGGGCGCCGAGAAAGTAGGTTTCATCTAAAACAACACGTCCTTGGCCAGCTGCACGAGTCAAGGGGACCAGGAGTCAAGGGAGCAGTTTGTGCAAGATGTGGGTCATCGTCCATCCCGACCTGAAGCATGGTGACATACCCTGTGTTGCCAGGCGCTGCGTTCCGCCAAGGCCTTGTTGGGTCATAGGTCGATGTCCCACTGCCACCTGGGTGGATCCACGGCATGGGTCAACTGCTCGGCACCGGGGGCTGCACAACCAGCGGAAGGGCTGGAAGAGGTGGATCGAGGAGCTGGACAGACCTGGGTGGTGAGGACGCCACCCGCCACAGCACGAGCGGCGGTGCCCAGCCGAGCCGTGCCGACCCGGCCCGTGCCGATGCGGATACCGGCTGTGCCGCGCCGGGCAGCCGTGCCTGCCAAACATGTACAGCAAGGCCATTCAAATTGTGACGGTGTACGCATACGAGCAAGCGAGGAAAAAGACGGATTACGGGGAAGCGACAGCGGGACAGTGGGGGGAAGCATTACCGATGCGGCCAGTGCCGAGGCGCATCCCAGTCGTGGGGCGTTGTGACCTAGCAGGGGCAGCGAGCCAATCAGAATGACCATCCGACCAGCACAAGCAGAGGGGGCGATTTGGGAGAGCTGGGGCGAGTGTTGTTCACTTACATGGTGTCGGTTGCTCAACAGCTGTGTAAGGGTCGCTCCAGAGAGCTGAATGAAAAAAAAAGGGGGGGGGGGCAATAAAAACCAGCAATTCAAGCGGTCCGAACTCGAACCGCTTTCTTGCAGCGCCGCCTATTCTTCAGGGCAGTCAGGGGTTTGGCCCGGGTGTGAGCGATGACGTGGCAGGCCTGCGATGCGGGGAGCGGGGTGACTCTTTCAAATCTTTCACCGCAATAGAGGGAGACGCAGGCAAGCGGGCAGGAGACGAGCAGGAAGGGGCAAACAAGAGAGAAGAAGAAGAAGAAGGAAAGGAAAGACAGAGGAGAAGAGGAGAAAGGCGGCACGGGAGAAGAAGAGGGAGCGAGCGGGGGGGAAAAAGGAGCGAGAGGAAGGCGAGATCCGCGCGCAGCTGATGCCGGTCGCGCAGCACGTACTTGTTATCAAAAAAAAGAAAAAAATAAAATTCAGGGTCAGAGGAAGTAAGTGATAAGGTCGGCGGTTCAGAGAGAGGTACTGTGCTGCATTTTGGGACAGGGTTGATTTCAATTTGAATTCAGAGATGTAGAAGAATGGCGCATTGGGTTCAGAGAGCTAGCGAGACCAAAGCTTTCTTCCTTTGTTGCCTTGCTGTTGGATTGTTGCTATCGAGTACCCGTTCTCAACACCTGTTTCAAACACATTCTCTATATCGCTGACATTTTCAATGAATGGCGTCGATTTTGGAGGGGTATACTTGAGAAAGGGAGGATCTCTGTCTTCTCTCTCTCTCTCTTTCTTCTGCTATTCTTCTCTCCCTCTCTTCTCTCTCTATTTTTGTTTTTTCTCTCTCTATTTTTGTCTCTCTTGGTCCAGAGTGGAAACTTCAGAGAGAGAGAGAGATTTTGAGAGAGAGAGAGGAACGGCAGTGCGGTGGAGGAGTCACCAGTGGGCGGGTCACGTGTGTGAGAGAGAGAGAGAGAGTGAGTGTGTGTGTGGGCGGGAGCGCTTCTCTGCCGGGGGCCTGGTCTTGGTCTGGTGTGCCGTGTCTGGGCGAACTTTCTTTGAGGGGACGTGCACTGCTTGTTTGCGCGTTGTTGGCTTTGGTGGGTGGTGTGGGAGCAGCCTTCGCCGTGCCTGTCCGCAGCAAGAGGAGGGTGCCGGCCGCGAGGACGGTGGCTGTACGGGTAGCATGGCTACGCCCCTTGTGCTGGAGGGATGGTTTCTGAAGCGAAAGCCTACCCTTTGGGGCTGGGACCGCCGGTGGTTCAAGGTTGGTGCCCCTCCCCCCGCTCTTTCGCCCTTTCAGCCCCAGCTCGCTTGTTCGCCCGTACGCCTTCAATCGCGAGCAAACTCGTGTCCACCGCCGTATACGCACGCGTGTTGATGGCCGGGCCGCTGGATACTGACCGCTTACCGCACATGGGCCTATGGGCCAATGCCATGAATAGGTCATTGATGGTCAAGTGATGTACTTTGTACAAGAACATGACGATGTTGATCGCCGCAAGGGTGGCTTCAGTCTCCAGGACATTGAGGACGTGGTGCCCTGCAACTTTTCCAGCAAGGCCAAGGCCCTGCCCCAACAGCAGCAGCGTTACGCCCGGCAGGGCTTGCGAATCGAAGTTTATCGTGACGGCTCACTTCGCTCCTATGAGCTCCTTTGCTTGGTGGGTCACACTGCCCTCTCGTCTCAAGTTGAGCGGGGTGCTTGGGGGCTTTTCTATCCCTTTGCTTTTTTGCTGGGCCAGGCCAGGCCTGCCTGTCCCTACCCCTGGCCTGCCTGTCCCTACCCCTGGCCCGCCTGTCCCTACCCTTGGCCTGCTGACACCTGAGCACCTTTCGTGCCGCTCAATCGTCATGTCCGTTTGGCCCATCTCAACTTTGATAGGAGCGTGAGGAGGTCTATGAAACCTGGCTCAACCTGCTCGACTTGCGCACGCGCTTGCTTCGCGAAAATCTGGTGAATCGACCACGCTCGCTGACCACTCGCTCTGAGAACGATGGCTTCGAGGTCTTGCCCATGCCGAACGAAAGTCAAGCACAGGCGCCGCAGCGCACTGCTAGCCGACGCTCCGTGCGCTTTGCCGATGCGGGTGCATCCGAAGCGGATTCAGATCTGGCTCACAATGCCGCCCTCAATGACTTTGGCGTCAACGAATCTAGTGATGAGGAGGATGAAGCTTCGGTCTCAGATAGCCCTCGCCCAGCTGCTAAAGGCGCCGCCGTCATATCAGGGTCTCACCACGACAATGATCAAATCAACAATCATGACGCCGTTGAAGATACCAACGCATCAGAGCCAAATCTACCATCAGAGCCCGGACACAGCGCTGAATCCCAGGATGGTGCCGCCGACGCCGACCAATCGGAGACACGCACCTATCGCTCTCGATCTCGCGCCATCTCCGTCTCATCGGCGCGTCAGATCAAGGTCATGGTCCAAGCCGAGAACTACCTCACCTTTCCCCGCGAGGGGTTGACAACCGTCGGTGATCTCATGACTTTGGTATGCGCCTTTGTATCATTCATTGAGCATCATGCAAAGCATCTTTGAGTCCGCATCAAACTGGTTCTCTGACGACTTTGGCTCGCTGCAACTCCTTGGCTCGCCCCTTCACCTTTGTCACCCAGATTGAGAGCCAGCTCAAGCGGCAACCCGAATGTTTGCGACTGTGGTGCCTCACCTTCCCGCACGACATCCGCGAGTGCGTCACCGTGCGCCCTTATTTAGCACAACAGCATAGCTTGCCCAGACCCTGGAGGAGCCGCTGTCAGGTTGCTCACGATGACTCGACATGAATCCCTGTAGGCTGCCAGATGATGAGTCCTTGGACCTCCTCGGCTCTCTCACCTCCCAATTGCTCCTGACTACATCAGAGGATCGGTGCGTGTTTACGGTGGTGTTGATGACTTTGATGGCCGTGCGTGCACTAGCGCGAGGTTGATGCCAACGTCACCTCTCCAGCCGAAGCCGAGTGCCATCTTCGGTGCCACGTGTTGACTCACAAGTCTGAGTGCATGTCGCCCTGGCACGCTCACCATGCTGTCGCTTCACGCACCCTTGATAGCTCTGTTCTTTGCATCCACCGTCGCAAGGGCACGCCTCTGGTCGACTTGGTGCCGAAGCGCATCACAGCAGATCAGGCACGGCCTCTGTCTCAACCGCTGCTCTACTGTCCCAGCTAGCGCGGTGACCCTGACCTGTCCACCTTCTGTCGCCACTCCTTGCCGCTGCTGCTATGCCTAGATCCTAACCGGTGCCATGTTGTCGCCGGCTGGGGCGCGACAATGGGAGGCTCCTTCTTCTTGGCTTCAAATTTTCACTGCCATGGAACAGCCTGAGCTGTACTGGCGTGATGATAGCGCTCAAGGCACCGGTAGGTCTTCTGCGACACCACTGCTCAAGAACTTTTCGACTTGATTCAGGTGGTTGACTCGTCGAGTTCAGACCGCAGCCTCAGAACGCTTTTTTTTCTTGCCTCGTGCCAGATCAGATATTTGCACGCGAAGATCAAGTCGTGGCGTTCTCAGATACAGCGCGTGCCACCGGTGCGTCATTTCCTGCTGCACCTGCTTGTCTCCCGCAAGCGTTGCTCCAAGCCATATTCATCTCGACCGTGGTTCCTCGTGGGGTCATAGGACAAGCCGGCATGATCATGTTGAAGGCAGCCAAGGCCAGTCGACCCAGTCGTAGCGGACGTGAGTTGTCTCGGCCTTGTACCGGAGTACCTTATTTTGTTTCTGCGGTCTTGCGTGCCACTGGGGTTTCCAAGGCCTCCCTTTTCGCTGCCTTGCGTATCTCCCTCCTTTTGGGCCACCTAGCCCGCACATGCCATTACCTTAGCTAGTTGTCTCGAAATGGCTTGTCGCCTAATGATAACTGGTTGATTTTGATGCTTCCCCGCGTCCTTCTCAATTTTGCTGCCTGTCCTGGAAAACGCGTGACCTTCTTGCTTAGCCTCTGGCCTCGAAGAACGGCGTGCACGATCCATGTCATCGACTCTGGTGCTCGATGGTATGCTATCCATTCGTGCCAAAGGACAAGGCTGGGGTCAGCGACGCTGCCGCTTGGATGCAGACCGGATCGAGATTTTCAAGGTCGGCAAGCTCGGCGCTTCACTCAAGATCGACCTCGATTGCATCCTTATCCTCACGGATGGGGGCGTTGAGCAAGTGCGTTGGCTTTTGCCTCGATCAGCTGGGCCACCGTCGTCAACGCTGTAGCATTGCTAGCAGACTCGCATCTCATCGTCCCAATTTTTAACACAGAACGTCCATTTGCTATATTTTGATGAGGCCGCTGCCAAAACAAGCGAGCTGGCTCTGGGCTCAGATGACGCTCAGCTGTATGCACAGGTAGAACTGCTTTTCTGCTCGTTTGCAGGCTCCTTCGACTGATTTATACCTCAAGACGCCCTTGTCCCGGTCGGTGCCAACTACAGCTTTTCTCACTCAATCTTGCCATGCACGATTCTAGTGGTGGGAGGTACTGCAGCGCCGCGTGCCCGTGGTGAGCAAGCAGGGCTGGTTGTCCAAGCGTGGCGAGCTCAACACCAAGTGGAAGCGGCGATGGTTTGAGCTTCGAGGGCGCTCTCTCTTCTATGGCCCCGAGAAGGTGAGACCCCTTGCATCGGGTCACACGCTGGGCGCCGATGTGGTGGATTCCGCTCACCTATTGGAGGGGCCCTTGCGTATGGGCCACGTCTGCGTCAGGGAATATGGAAAGCCCGCATCAACCTGGCTCGATGCGACAACGTGATCATTGCTGATGAAGACGACGTGGACGACTCCTTTGTGTTTTACGTTGTGCACAACCAGCGCACCTACAGCATTCGAGCAGATAATGAACATTCCCTGCTCGATTGGGTGCAAATCCTGCGCATGTGCCTCCCAGATCAACGAGTATTGCATCAAGGGCGCCTGCACAAGCTGGGTGTTTACAACCGTACCTTCAAGCCCCGCTTCTTCCAGCTCACGCCGAGTCGCCTCTTGTACTTTGATGATGAGGTTTGTGTTTCAGAATCGTTGAATATGCGATGTATCTTTCAATCATCTCTGGCCGTGCATCACAGGCTTTCCGCCTCCTGAATTTTGTGTGTGCGTTTGGGTTGTGCTTTGTTGTCCGTGTTGGTTTTTCTATTGATCATCCACACCACTTGCCATCGCGCCAACAAATATGTGCCAATGATAGACGTATAGTCGTTGCAAGGGCCAGATTGACTTGAGTTTGGTGCGCAAGGCTGAGCCCTTTAGCGGCAGTGGCGGCTTTCACTTTGCCATCAACGCTCAAGATCGAGCATTTGAATTACGTGCCGACACGGACGCCCAACGCCAACAGTGGATTGGCCTCATCAATGACGCCATTGCTGCCCTTTTGGCTGCGTCTGCAGCTAGCGCTGCGGCAGCCATGCTCGATCCGGCGAATCGGGGCGAAACGGGTACCTTGCAACGCATGGCATCTTCTGATTCGCTGCAGGACATTGAGCCTTCTAAAGAATCAACCGACGATCATGGGCGATCGGAAGGCAATCATACGGCAACAGCGACGAGCCATGCAGCTACCACAGCCCACCCAGCCGGTCGCGGCAGCGAGCCTGCCCGGGCTCCATGGGACGTTGACGTGCCTGAGGTCAGTGCATGAAATGTGCCAAAGCTCACTGGGCACCATGGTTGCCTGCCTGCCTGCCATCTCACGGCCGTGGGATTGCATAGGTGGGACCGCCAGCCGATTTCGAGGCGAACGACGTGCTCGGGGCTTGGGATGTAGGCTCTGCGAACCAAGCACCGCATTGGAGTTCAAGCTCAACTGCACTGACGCGTGAGGAAATGGACGCTTTGGCAGCCAGCTTGGTACGTGCTGCTTCGCGAACGCCACCACGCTCCTTCTGCCAAATCTGATGCAGAAGAAACTCAAGTCTGGCTGTTGTGTGGGGCTGCAGGATGCGGAAGAACCGCCTGCCAGCAGCATTTTAGAGTATTTGGAGAGCGAACCGTTTGATACGCGTCCACGACGTTCCATGGCGGCCAGTGTCTTCTCGACATCAGGTGACGACGGGCGTTTGTCAGTTTCAGACGGCAACGAGCCAAATCGCCATGGACTACTGATGGAAGACGACGAAGAGGAGGAGGAGATGTTGGAGCCGGATGAGGTCAGTCTCATTTTTGAGGGGGGGGGTGAAATAAAAAGGCTAAAATCTCACAACTTGTCCTTGGTTTCAAATGTGTGTGTGTGTGTGTGTGTGTGGCTGCGCTATGGGGGGTTTGCAGCTCACGCCTGAAGTGGAGCAGCGCCTTATGGCCAGTTTGGCCACGAGCATGACGGACGGGGACAATGATTTAGCGCCGCCCGAGTCGGCTGAGCAATCCGAGGGCAATGCACTGGACGTGGTGACGCCCTCTAGCCTGCGTGTCATTTTGCATACTCTCAGCAAAGATCAACATCAAGCAGGCGCCTTTGGCAGCGGGCGCACGATTACACGCATTCGCTTGTCTGGTTGTGTACTTTCCGTCAATGAGCGCAACGAATGGTCCTTGGCAGCCGGTTCTACATGGCATGCGCCCAATGTGGCGTATGACGGTCCCGTAGAGCAGATGACGCTACCGCCCAACGTCCGAGTCATGTTTTTGAAGGATCTGCACGCGTGGCATGTCCCGGCCCCTGGCAGCGGCGCACTGCCCAGCGCTGCGGCTAGCTCAAGCACCCCAGCTTCGCTGCCCCCAGCACGCATCCATCGCAATGTCAGCGCTGCAGAGCAACGCTTTGCGCAGGTCAGTCAAGCTTCTGAGCAGATGGCTTCCCGTTTGCCAGGGCAACCCTCCATGAGCGCGCTGCTGTGAAAACCCAGGAATGGATTCTTGCTCTTATTTTCTGCCCCGCTGATTGGTGTGCTCGGGGGTTGTACTTTTTGCAGTACAAACATACTTCGTTGTTGGCCAACTTGAAGCGCGCCGTGCGCATCCTGACCGACTTTGTGTGCGCGGCGGACGATGCTGAGGATGACCAGCAAAACGGGGATACTGGTGCCCGAGGTGTGTAATGATGCTTGTCCAGGAGATGCAAACTGCGCTCTGATAGTCCCATCTGACTGGGCGATCGCGGACCTGGCTTGTTCCTGTTAGGGTTGGTGCGGCGCTGTGACGACATGGCCAGTCCCAAGATTGGAAGCTTGGTGCGCCAGCACTTTTGTTCAGCCATGGCTCACATCTTTGTCAAGGGCCTGCAAGTATCGTACGTAGTGCAGCGTGCCGAGACACAGCACGGAGATGGGCGCCGAGCCGCACGGGGAAGAGGGCACGCTATTCATGACGATTGCACGCTTGTAGACGATATGGTGGCTTTTTCAAGACCACGGTCTGGGACGTCCTGGTGGCCTTGACGCCGGCGCCCAGCGCAGCGACCAGCAGCATGCTGCGCAAGGCGTATCTGGTTGTTCGTGATTTGCAACAGAATCCGGTCCGTCAAGAAACGTGACACTTGGTAGTAGGGGCGTGCCTACGGTGGTGCGCGTCGTCGTTCATCCGGTCGCGCTTTGTTTGGTGGCTGGTGCTAGAATATGAACAACAGCAACGACGTGCGCGTGCGGTCATTCTTTTGCGCGGCACTAACGCATCACTTTCTGGAAGAGTGGCTGCAGGCGGTGTATATGTGCGTTTGAGGATTGTGTGCAGCAGAGGCTCATAGATGGGTCTTGGTGTGCGGTGTTTGGGCGTTGTTCGGCATTGGATGTGATGTCGCTTGCCCACAAGCAGCCTGCGTCGCAAGTTCCAAGGCTCGGGGAACCTCATGGCATGTGTTTGCTGTTTGGGACTGGGACCAATGTAGGGACAAGCCTCGCTTGGCCAAGTGGTACAAGCCCGAATCTTTTTGGTGCATGTGCCCACAGAGCTGTTTTGAAGAGCTGTTGTTGATGTTGACGCCACTTCATGGCTTACCGTTTCGCTTGCACACGTCCTGGGAGCGAACCTTTGCGGGACGGGGTGCTGACCCCATGGGAGCCACCGACAGGTATAGTTTGCATCCTGCACCATGTTCATGACCGCATGGTGGCGTGCCTCATGTTGATTGGTCGCGGGTGTCCTGATTTCAGCTACAACTATGCGATGGAGGTGCCGGCTGGCACTGGTATGATGGCCAGCGAGGCCGAGCTTGGGGATTTGCACGATCTGCCCTTGGTTCAGGCGCTCTACGACAACGACCAGCCTGGTGGGTCTTGCTGCTCAGGGCTGACGTCTTCTTAAACCGATAGTTGTGCAGAGTTTGCTTGGCGTCCGCAAACTCATGGCGCTTGTGTGGGGATGGGGCATTGATAGCGGACGAAGCGGAGCTGGTGTTTGAGCGCGGCGACATTCTGCGGGTTATCAAGGTTTTGAATGAGGACTGGCTCAAGTGCGAGCTGAATGGGCAGGAAGGCATCGTTCCTTGCAACTACGTCGAGGAGCTGGATCAAATGGAAGCTGAGCTGTACATGCTCACCCATGACTACGAAGCTTGAGTGGAAAAGAGTGTTTCCAAAGCTGTTTCGTCCCGTCATGTCTGCTGAGCAGGCCTGTCACAAGGTGTTTCTTTTTATTGATATCCGGCATCCTGTCTCACTTTTCTCCACGACCACGTGGCAAATCCACACGCTGTTCTTACGTATCGTATGTCAAGCCACAAAAAAAAAAAAAGAGGCAGCAACTCGACGCATACCAGTGGCAGAGACCGAGAGGCCGAGACTGAGACTGAGACGACAGAGGTCCAGAGAAGAAAAGAGAAACAGCACAAGACAAGGGAAGAGAGAGAGATGAATTGGTAAGAAAATTGAATTGGTTAGCAGAGAGAGAGAGAGTGTGTGTGTGTGTGTGTGCGTTAGAGAGAGAGAGAGAGAGAGTGTGTGTGTGTGTGTGTGTGTGTGCGTTAGAGAGAGAGAGAGAGAGAGAGAGAGAGAGAGAGAGAGACAGAGAGAG